CTGCTCGGGGGTCTCCGCACCCAACGAGCCCTTTGCTCCTGCCCGCCTCAGCCTCTGGCCACTTGTCCATAGGTTGATATATTTTGTCCTTTGTGGAATTCAGTTTTAAACGAGTCCCACCGTGCCCTTTCTGAAACATGAAAGAACGCTTTTACCAATGTTCCGTCCAGCTGGGATCATCCTCACATCACGTTCTGCTCTGTGTCCTTTGGGATGCAGGTGCAAATGTGCACGAAGCTCACCTTAAGTGAGGCGATAGCAGAATGTCCTGAGAGGGCCGGGACTCTTGGTCACGGATTCACCTCCTGGCCCTGCACATCCCACCCTGTGCCTGGGAGTGTTATCCCAGTGCTCCTGGAGCTCTTGGGGCCGTGACCATTCCCTGGGGAGCACCCTCTGGGCCAAATGCATTCTTACAGTGCAGAAATATCAACGCAGCCATTGAAACTCCCCTTTTTATTGTTCTCTGTAATTGGCATATAGTGTCAGCACCTCAGAAAGCAATAACCTAAGAGCTGGAAGTAAAAAATAAATATTTGAAAAGAGCCTTTCAGGCATCAGCGATGCTCGAAGCTCTTTAGTTTGCAGCCTTTGGTGTCAGTGCAGATGCAGACGCAGCATCCACAGCCACTCGTAGAGTAAGAGGTTGGGTTTCAGGGTGTGTTTCTTTGCCATTGCTTTCAGCAGGTTTTGAGGCCGTTCATCATCTGTTCAGGAGGTTATTAGAGAACTGTGATCTGTAAGATGCTCTTCCCAGCGGGTGGGCCGGCTGCTGAGGAGCTCTGTGCTATTGGGGCTCAATTGCATTTGCTCATTGTCTGACAGGGGAAATGTCGCACTGAATGATTGCCGGAGAGACCGGCATGCAGAATTTAACCTTTTCTTTTTTTTCCACGGTGAGCAATTCACACTCTTTTTGCACTAAACGAATACCATGTAATGACAATGAACTCCCGAGGAGAATGAAGTGTGCCTTTGAAAAGGCAGCCTGTAAGCAGCATGGAATTGTATGGAATGGGTTGGAAGGAGCCTTAAGGATAATCTAGTTGTGTTCAACTGCAGGGCTCCAGTATAAGTAGGTGGAGATGCTCCAGGGCTGGAGCCCTTCTGCTCTGGAGCCAGCCTGGGAGAGCTGGGGGTGTTCACCTGGAGAGGAGAAGGATCCAGGGAGAGCTCAGAGCCCTTTCCAGTAGCTAAAGAGGTTCCAGGAGAGCTGGAGAGAGAAGTGGATGTGTGCAGACTTGTAAAAGCCTAAGCTTTGTCTGATGCTGAAATTCAGATTTGTTGCCATCACCTGGCTGGGCAGTGAGAAAGGAGGTGGCCCAGGTCTCCAGGTAAATGGATTCTGGAGTTGCTGCTCAGTGTTCCTGACACAAACAGGAGCAGATGTCTAACCTACATTGTGTGTCTACCCCACGAGGAGTTCACAGTCTGACACTTACTCCTCAGTTTCTTATTCCTGTTTCTGCTCTGTTGTCACCTGTTATTTTGCAGTTATGATTAGAACTCACAGATTAGCAAGGCTTTGGGTTGGGGTTTGGTTGCTGCAGAGCTGTAAGTGTAGTGTTCAAAGAAAGGCAGAACTTGAGATTTCCTGACTTTCTGTGATTCCAGGACCTGGAGCTGGAGTGAGGAAACGCCGAGCTCTCAGTGCTGTGATGGGTTTGTGTGCTGGGGAGGGATCTGTGCTGTGGTGGTGCAGTCCCCTCAGCCCAGCAGGGTTGTCAGCGCTGTTATCAGCGCTGTCTCTCTCTCTGCAGGGCTCAGGAGCTGCAGCCAGCTGCGGGTGCCGGTGCGATGGAGGGGCCAGGCCACGGCCGCTGCAGTGACCCAGAGCACCAAGCCCCACATCCAGCCCCAGGAGAGGTAGGTGCGGGCTCTGGGCTTGCTGCCTCTCCCTGATAGAAGCAGGGCAGCCACGGGGCTTGGTCTGCTTTATGTGTGTGTGTGTGTGATTGTTTATCTGCCTGGCTGCACTCATCTTCTCTGTGCTGAGGGGCAAGGACAGCCTTGGTCCTGCAGAGCTCCGTGAGCCCAGGGCACACTTAAGGCCTGAGGCACTCTGGGAGCAATGGAAGGACATTCATTATCATTATTATTTGAAGTTCTGGTTCCTGTCTCCTGGGTTTTATTCAGCAGCCTTTGATACACACTCCAGCAGAAAAGGAATGGAAGCTGAGGTCCCGAAACATTGGGGCAGGCCTGGAGGACTTTGTCTGTACCAAGAGGAGGGCAAAGCTCCCTGTGCAATCTAAACCTCTGCTGGGGAAGTGAGAGGTTCCATGGGGGAATTGGGTGAGAGTTGTGGTCAGCAGCCATTCTGTAAATGCTGATATCACCATCTGTACTGCTGTGCTGTGTGGGATGTTATCCTTACAACAGTGTGCCAGACCTGCACCAGGGTAGAAAATCCATTCTGGAAAAACCCAACCCAAACACAACTGGCCCTGCAATGAATTCATGTGCAGAAAGGCTTCTTTCTGCTGTCACTGCTGGAGGAGATGTGTCCCCGCAGTAATGAGGACAAAGACTTGTGTGAGTGGCTCATCTGTTTTCTGGAGAAGCTGCTGCTTGGTTTGTTTGGATTCCACAGCTGAGACCCTGTTTTATAACCTCCCTTAGAGCCAGCAGCTGGGAGACAGCTCTCTCAGTGTGTTTCCAGCTAAAGTTTGTGTTACAAAGGGGTTACTTTTTAAAAAAGCAAAGATAGTGTAGATTCCTGTGTCTGGCCATTCCTGTTCCTAGTGCAAGTGTTTACATAAGCAGGCGGAACCTTGGAATAGGAACTGGCTTTGCACAAGGCAAATGGAGGAGGATAAACTGGTTGTTTTGTCATCAAAATAAAAATAAAAGCCATGGGTCACTGGGATTTGAAATCTCTCTTGCTTCCATAGGAAACCTAAAACAGGGATCTTGATGTTGAACATGGGAGGCCCGGAGCGGCTGGATGACGTCCACGATTTCCTGTTGCGTCTCTTCCTGGACAGAGATCTGATGACCCTTCCAGCTCAAAAGTGAGGATCCCCTGGGGCACAGGCGGTGTTGGGTGTTGCTGTCTGAGCTGTAGGCTCTGATATTTACCTTCTGTAGAGAGCAGCATTCCCTAAAACTGCTCTATCCTGGGAGCAGTCAGTGCAGGAAGCAGTGCTAGAACTCTCTGGAAGTTGATGTGCCATGTTGTTCTGTTTTGATTGCAGACTGAGAAGCGGGAAGGGTCGTGGGATAGAACAGACAAACAAACCCTGCAGCTTTGCTGTAGTTTGCAGATTGCCAGGGTGTTTTGGGGTGTGCTGTTAACGTGTCCCTCTCCACTGCTGCAGTCAGTTGGCCCCGCTCATCGCCAAGCGCCGCACCCCCAAAATCCAGGAGCAGTACAGCAGGATCGGCGGGGGCTCCCCCATCAAAAAGTGGACGGCGCTGCAGGGAGAGGGCATGGTGAAGCTGCTGGACAGCATGTCTCCTCGTACTGGTACTGCTCTCCCAGCCTCCCACGGGCTGCTGCTGCTCTCTGTCTGCTTGCAAAGCACCTTTGCCTTCTTGGTTTTCATTGTGGGGTGGATCTCAGCCCTGCTGGGAAACCATGGTGCTCAGGTTGTTGTGGAAGGCTGGGCGTGGGGAGTCACCTCTGTCCCTCCTGTGATCGTGGGAAGATGACTGAGACAGACTAAGTGTGCTATTTCCAGGTGTCCAAAGGTGTGTGGCACTGCCAGGCATTGCACCTAGCCCTGTAAGCCCTGCTTGAGCCTGAGGAAGCCTGCACTGAAGGGAAGTGGCTGAGGCTTAGATGGGAAGAAAGGGGAATGTACTTCACGTGAACAGCTGAGGCAGGTGTGGGAGGAGGGGGTCAGAGTGCTGTTCTCAGCAGCTGTTTCAGGGCTGGAAGGACAGCTGGAGGAAAGACAAGGCTGTGTAGATGAGCAGTCAGGACATGGCTGAGCGATAGCAGCAAGCCCCACCCGGGGACACAGCAGGAGATAAGGCTGGACAGTTTGGCTGGGGTGGAGGGACATGCTGTCTTTGCCAGACATGAATAGAGCCTCCCTCCCCTCTCTGTGTCACAGAACCTCTCTGGAGCTCATTGCCTCCCAGCAAGGAGTGCTGGCTGGTATGGGGTAGCCTGTGCCCCTGTGCCTGGTAGAGTGTGACATTTCCCATGACTGTGATGGGAAATGGGTGCAGATGCTTCTGTCAATGCCCTTTCGTGCAGGGCTGTTTTGTAGCTCTTTGTGGCAGTGCCTCAGGCTTGGCTAGAAAAGGGCTAGAGGAAAAGGACTGCTAAAAGGGTTCTTGGAAGGCTAGAACCAAATTTATTTCCATCCATTCAGAATGTGATGTGTCACTGGTGCCTTCATTCAGGTGATGTTCAGTCCTTTCTCCTCAGATGTGACTCCCTAGCTCAGTTCCAGCTGTGGTCCCTGCAGGTGCAGTCAGAGCCTGAGGCTTGCTGTGCCATCCAAGGCAGGAGTGTTCTTGGAGCAGGAGCCCCTGAAGGGTCAGGCTTGCAGCAGGTTCTGCAGATAAGGCTTGGAAGGTTTATCTGCTTTTCCCAGTGTCCCACTCCCGCTTGCTTTTGTTGGTGACCACTCTCTGTGCAGTCACACCCTTCTCTGGGCACCTCTCCCACCTGATAAGCCCTTTGGAGGCTTCCTTTTTTACTTGATAGCAGCTGCAGTTTAACAATAGAATGTGCTGAGCACTACCAGCCATTTCCTTCAGCACCCCAAGTGACCTTGCAGAGCACTGTGTTCCTTCAGAATAGCTTGGAACACCTGGATATTCCTGCAGCCAGCATTTGGGAATATGGTGTGCTCACAGGTAACACTTCGGGAGTGCTGAGCCCTCTTAATGAGGAACTGGCAGGAGGTGCTGGTACCATGTGAAATGTGGCAAAAAATAAATAATTTTAGGGCCATTTTGCCTTGATCTGGGGTCTGGGCAGCAAGTGAAGCCTCAGTGTGTCAGCAACACTGTACATCCTAAATTAAGACACAGCTACCAGGAGAGGAACTGACTCTGTCTGAGCCAAGAGCAGGACAGGATGTTACTCTTAATAAACAGTCTGTGTACAGACACCAACACCTCTCTTTTGCTGCCCGTGGTCCTGAACAAAACCTGACACTGTGAGGGTATTGCTTCTAGGCTGGCCGTGTTCTTCCCAAAATGTCCTTTCCCAGGTTAAACTCCTACAGCCCCTGCTGTGGTTAGTCAGACTTTTGTCTTTAATGCCATTCAAAGATGTTAATGAGGTTACTGGCTCAAGGGCTCCTGAAGTTGGGTCTTTATTTGCTGCTGCTCCCAGCTGGGAGCTCTCCTGCCTCCTGCAGAGAGCTGGGGCTGACTAAACCTGTTTTCTGAATCCTGCTTAAATGTATGGAGGGGAGCCCAAGCAGGGGACATCTGCCTCCTTCAGAAACCTGCTAAATGTTATTTCAGAGCCACTGACCCGGAAACCCTGAAAAAGAAACTTTGCTTTTGTTCTCCTAAGAGCCTCTGTCCTCCACTTAAAATACCAAAACAGCAAAGCTGTCCTGCCTGCCTCCCATCCCCTAACCAAGCCATGCTCCCAAAGCTGACACCTACAAGATTAGAGGTAAAAAATGGAGGAACCTAAGATGTCCTCATATTGCTGCCAAAATTAGGTGTTTAAGCCATGAAGCTTTTTATAAATCCCCTCCAAACTCAGAACGGGAGAGCACATGATTCACCTCTCTGCTGCCCCAGACAGCAGTGCTGGTGCTTGGGGTTTGGGTGCCATTGGAGCAGGTGTGCTGGGCAGGGAGGGCAGCTGGAGCTGTGGGCTGTGAGGGCATTGGGCTGTTCATTTAGCTTCTCACAGTTACACCTTTTTACACTTTTTTACCATTATGTCGTTAGAATCAGGACTTGCCCCATGAGACACTGGGGCTCTGTCCAGGCTGGGAACCGTGCCTCTGCTAAATGCAGGAGGAACAGGCAAGTGATGTTCCTGTAGAAATAAACCATAATATAGATCACTTCTAAATTCTAATCACAGCCAAGTGAGGTACCAGAAAACTGCTTGGCCCAAGAAAGGGCTTATATGACAGTGCTTTACAGAATTGCCCAGAAAATCATCAGCAGTTTATTTCAGCAGTTCCAACCCAGCTGCTCCTGTCTATTTGCCATGTAATGCTTTGTTAGTGTGAATTCTCACCTGTTGCTGCATTCCTCCCTGGTGCTGGGGCTGGCAGCTCCTCACAAGTATTACATCGGGTTCCGGTACGTGCATCCCCTGACGGAGGAGGCCATCGAGGAGATGGAGAGGGATGGCATCCAGAGGGCCATTGCCTTCACCCAGTACCCCCAGTACAGCTGCTCCACCACAGGTGAGCCCTGGGCAGGCACAGGAGCTGTGAGTGTGGAGAAACCATCTGGACTCTGACCACACTGGTGCACTGTATGATCTGGGATAGAACTGTTCCCCTTGGAGACTATCAGCTCCATTGATTTATGGTTGTGCTTTAATTATGTAGCATTTGAAAATATGATAATAGTTTGCTGCCAAGCTGGTTCAACCTGACAGCTTGCTGAACTTTTGTTGGTAATTCTCTGTTTCAGGAAGCAGTTTAAATGCCATTTATCGCTACTATAACGAGAAAGGGGAGAAGCCAAAGATGAAGTGGAGCATAATTGACCGGTGGCCCACACATCCCCTTCTCATTCAGGTGTGATCTGAAGGCTTGGAGGTTTATCTCTTGTCTTTTAAAATATAGAAAAAAGGAAGGATAACAGGAAGGCTTCAATCTGAGGGTGCATTTTAGTTGTGTGATGAGCTGGGCCTTGTCTGAAATTACAGGAGGAGGGTTATTTCATGCCCCATGCTTTGGCAAGATAATGTGTGACAGTGCCCACTGTGCATGCTGTTTTAAAAGCTGGGTGATGTTAACCTAATGGTGGTGGCTGGAAGGAACCTCTCCAGGGAATTAGTCCAAATTCCTGCTCAGAGCAAGTCTGTGATCAGCACACACACAGATTATGCTGGTTTGTCAGATTCCCCTGTGGCAGCAAAGAGTCATTCCTTGCTGTGGCAGAGCAATGAAGGGAAGCCTGCTTGTTGCTTTCTTTGCAGAGGAAATGGCACTTTAGGCTTTATCAGGGAGCTTTTCCTGTGGTGTGGGTTTGCAGTTTCTGTGGTGTGCTGAGCAGATGAAGAAATCACTGAAGGCAGGCAGGGAGGAGCTGCCTGTGCTGGGTGATGTTCCCGGGACACACTGCCTGAGTGTTGTGCACACTGGGGGAATTCGGGAGCTCTTACGGCAGCACAGAACATGGGGTCACTGAGAGCAGAGCTGCCTCCCAGTGCTCCTGGCTCAGATCTTTGTCTCTGTTTCCCTGAGCAGTGCTTTGCTGACCACATCCAGAAGGAGCTGAACCTGTTCCCACCAGACAAAAGGAAAGAGGTGGTCATCCTCTTCTCAGCGCACTCGCTGCCCATGTCTGTGAGTCCCTCAGGGCAGGCTGTGGGAGTGCCAGGCACTCTGCTCCTTCCCCAGGCTTCCCCGGTGACAGAGGGGTGCTGTGTTTCTGCTGCAGGTGGTAAACCGTGGTGATCCGTACCCTCAGGAGGTGGGAGCCACTGTGCAGAGGGTCATGGAGAAGCTCAATTACTCCAATCCCTACAGGCTGGTGTGGCAGTCCAAGGTATGTGCTCAGGGAAGCTGAGCAGGTAAAACCTGTGCAGAGTCTTACTGGACTGAAAAGAAATACACCTTTATTTACATTTTCAGTTATTTTCTTCAGTCTTGTTCAGGCCAGCCCAAGTTCTGTTCCTTTGAGATGTAATGGTGAGAAGTATGTCTTCATTAAACATTTAATGGGGAAAGTAAGAAGTCCAACCAAAAGCAGGGAAATAAAAATAACTGCTTCTGTCCCATCCATAACCTGGTCTGTCATCCTGCCTAAGGAAACGTGGCTGTTCTTTGTAAGAATGATTTAATGAGTGTTTTTCCTTTATTTCCACTTTTCTGTTGCAGGTTGGGCCAATGCCTTGGCTCGGTCCCCAGACAGATGAGACCATTAAAGGGCTGTGCCAGCGGGGAAAGAAGAACATGCTGCTGGTGCCAATAGCATTTACCAGTGACCACATTGAAACCCTCTATGAACTGGACATTGAGTATGCCCAGGTTTTAGCCAACGAGGTGAATGCTCTGTGGGTTTGGTCCCTCTTTGGGTAGGGCTGCTCTGTTATTATTTCTCCAATTGCAATTTGCTTTACAGTTGCTTCTTGCAGTATTATTTGGGATTAGCTTCATTTTCCTATAAATCAAAGATTAATCTGAACTGGCTTAACCACAAAACAGGTGGGAGTTTGTTTTTCTAGATTTAGGTCTTTAAATCATTACAAATATTGCTAAAAAAGGACAAATGTTTTGGCTGCAAAATGCAGTGTCGCCTCAAAGTAATTCTTGCTGTACTAAAAGCCATGACACTGCATTTAATGCTGTCATTTTGAGGCAACTTCTGAATGAAGTGGGAAGATTTTGAAGGATCATTGAAGGATCAGATTAACAGGTTTAATTTTTTCCTCCTTATTTTTGATTCAGTGTGGCGTTGAAAACATCAGAAGAGCGGAGTCTCTCAATGGAAACCCACTGTTCTCCAAGGTATCTGCTGTGCTGCAGTGGCTGTAAAGGTTTGCTGTTGTGTTGTGTTCCAGGTAGTCTTTAAGATATTTTGAGTTGGAACCCCTTGTAGCTAACCTGTGTAGCACAGACGGTTCATTGTACCACAATGTGTGTGTGTGTGTACGTGTGTCAGAAGGGGGCTCGGGGTGCCCAGGTTGGCCTGGGGTGTTGCACAGCTGGATTTGCTCCCTCTGACCCTTGCCTTCCCCCCTGCAGGCCCTGGCAGACCTGGTGTGCTCCCACCTGCAGTCCAACGAGGTGTGCTCCCGCCAGCTGACCCTGTGCTGCCCGCTGTGTGTCAATCCTGTGTGCAGGGAGACCAAGGCGTTCTTCACCAGCCAGACCTGCGAGCCCTGAGGTGCCACAGCCTGGGCACCTGCCCAGCACAGCCTGGGGCTGCTGGGCTCAGTGCTGCTGTCCCCCGAGCAGCACGCACCACTTGACTTGGGCTTCATTTTCCTTCTGTTGTCTTGGTTTCAGAAGAGTTGTAGGAGGTAGGGGAATAAGGGCATTTATCCTGTAACGTGTGAGGAGATCTCACCCGACCCCGTGGGACTTAGCCTGAGCCCAGCAGTGAGCACTGAAAAACTCACACAGCTTTTTTACAATGAGCTTCTATTTCTATGCAGGGATTGATTTGTATGCAGGGTGGGCACGACTGCATTAACTTGCCAGGTTAAAGGTGCAGTTATTCTGGTTTTGCTTTAGGTGCAGCCTGACCAGAACAGTCTGAGAGGGACTTTGGAGATCAGGTGACTTCTAATGCTTTTTAATAATGTTTATAGATATATATATATATATTTTTTTTTTTTTTTAGGACATAAAGATAAGGCTTTGGTTTGGTTTGGTTTGGTTTTCTCCTGCCAGAAACTTCCAGTGAAAGCTTAGCTGGGATAGTAGAACGCACAAAACTTGTTTACATTTTCTAGGAAAAACATTTTCATTATCTGCAGGCAAGTGTTTGAAGAGGATAAATTGAAAGGAATTAGCCTGCTTGAGTGATACTGGAGAATTTACTCCATTGAACCTGCATGTTTCAAGGCTAGCAGGAGCACGTGTGGAAACATGCTGGCTTATCTGTTAAGCAGAATGGCTATTTAAATTCTTCTTATTTTTATTAAAAAGGGCTTTTTCTGTTTGGTGAAGTAAGTTTAGGAAGTCAGGCTTGTTCTCCAGGAGGTTTATAGATCCACTCTGTGCTTTCTACTGTGGTTTTTGTGGGGATACCTGTGGAGTGCCATAGGTAGGATTGATCTGGCTTCATTGCTGTTGTTTCAATGGAGGTGATCAGTCAGGAGTAATTTCCAGTTTCACACTGCAGATGCCTGAGGACAGGAAGCCCTGTGCTGGGCTCTCCTGGAAGGCTGCCAGCCCACAGCAGGGCCCTGGCACTGAGTGTGCCCCTCGTACCCACAGGGTCCCCCCAGAGCTGTGACCCTGGCACTGACCCCCACGTGTGGCAGCCCAGCTGGCACCTCCTTGGGGGCACACGTTTACTTGATGTCCTTAGCACTGAAATGCCAGGACCTGGGCACTGCAGGCCGGCTCCTGGGAAGTGCTGCTGGCTGGGAAGCAGATTCCATGCTGCTCAGCCAGGTTGATCTGCTCAGGTAACCACAAGGCACGAGCAGTTTGGCCTTTTGAGAACAGGGTGTTTAAAGAGAGAAGAGGCCTCTGGTGGTGTATCAGGGGTTTGTCTTGTGCTGTTTTGTTGTTGGAATTAAAGATGGGGTACTGAAGGAGTGCTGTAAATCCCCAATACCTCTGGAGAGTTGCTTGCTCCACTGCCATTCCTGCTTCCCAGGGTGAGGCACACGGGTTCCTTCAGTGCCACAACCTCCTGCAGCACCCTGTCTCTCACAGAAAGAAGTCTTCCTTGACCCTTCATGCCTGTGCCTGTTTCAGTGGCAGGGAGCCAGAAGCTTCTCTTCACCCTCCTCTCCCTCCCCTTGGGCTCTGCTCGCAGCCTGGGCAGGCAAAAGGAGCACAAATGTCCAGTTTGTCTGGGAACACTGGCCTTATGTCTCTCGTTGGACAAAGAACTTCCTCTGTTTCACTTCTCTGTGTGACACTTAGGGATCAGTCTGTCAAATCTTCCTGCTCACTCCTGTTTCCTCACAGGTGCAGGGAACATGGACCTTCAGGTGGTCCAGGCTGTGACCACCACATTTACAAGTGTGGAAAGCAAAGGTTAACTTCTTATGAACCTTGTGGTATTATAAATACAGATGGCTTTTCATTTTCATACTGGAGAGAGCCCTGAAAATACTAGCTGGCACTGATTCTGAGGCATTATGTTTGTCCCCAGTAATAAAAGGTACTTAAAATTCACTTTTGAGTGTTCTAACCACAAGTGGGATAATTACTCTGTTGCTGCTATTACACCATCATGTAGAAATCACTTAATTTTCCAGCTTTTAGCAGATGGGGCCTGTCTCACAGATCTGGTGCTGCTGTTTGCTGTCAGAGTAGTTTCCATCAAGGGTTCTGAGGAGTTCCTCATCTCTGAAGCCAGTGCCCAGGAGGTTGGGTGAGTGTCTGCCCTGAGGAGAGATGAATGCCATGGTACATGTGCCTTGCTGAGCCCTCCTCAGTGCAGTCCCACTGAGTGCAGCTCACTGTGCCCTGCACGTGTTCCCAGTGCCCCCCTGGCAGGCTGCAGACCCCTGGTGCTACTGACCCTGGGCCTGGTGTCCCCAGGTCGGGGGGGGCCCTGGTCCCTGGCCAGCAGTGCAGCTGGGCTGGCTTGGAGCCACGGGGGCTTTGAGGATGGCAGGGGGTCACTGCCCTCCTGGCCCAGGAGGGAGCTGGGCAGGGGATGTGCCCACCAGAGCTCCCAGCACAGTCAGGATATCAACTGGAAATGGAGGAGTTAGGAACAGCCCATGGTGTCCTGAGGGAGGAAATGGGAACTAAAGGGGTGAGGTTGTTTTCCTGCTTTCACACTCTGCAGTTTGGTTTATTTTTTCATTTTTGAGTGATTTATTTTCTCTTTTAAGTTTCTTTTTAACCTGTCCCTTGGTCCTGGCTGCATTTCAGAGAAGGTGGGAGCTTCCCAAAGGTGCTGTGACACCAAAAGGTGTGTGAATGGTGTCAGAGCTGGCCTCTCTGGAGAGGAGGATGGCACAGCTGAGATCAGTGGGGCCAGGGTCTCCCTAGGAGTACCTGAGAGCTCAGTGAATTCTCCCTTCCCACCAGAGAGCTGGGGATCACCATGAAGTATAAGCTGCAAGGCACAGGAGCTCCTTTGATTCTGTTAATGCCAGATGTGTACAGATAATTGCTTTTAAGCCAACATATGCACTTCACATTGACCAAGGACTTCCATTTGATGTAACACAGCAAATTTAGATAATCCTACAGTGTGTCATTTGCCATAAGGATGGAGTTCCAATTAAAGTTTTTTTTAAGAAATAACTGAGCTGTGTGTCCTTGTAGGAGCCCTTTATGCTGGTGTTTGAAGTTCTCTCTGCACCTCTGGTGTCAGGCTGAGGTGAGTTACACCCCCTAAAAAGGCTGGAGAAGATGGTGAATCAGGGATTTGCCTTGCTATGGGATCCCACCTGTGATGGATAATTTATTCTGTTCCTGTTAGTGGTCTCTGGGCAGCTCCTTGCTGATGTTACTAATTAAGTGCTTGATTGATTATTTTCTGGAGCAGGGATTGGAGATGTTGGATACTTAAGCTGATCCATTAGTGAGCTCTTGTGACTGGATTGTTGTGGGGAAGAGAGCAGGATGCAAACCCAACACAATGGAAGATGACAATCTGGAGGAGAGCAGTGCTGGTGCTTCTTTTCTTCTGGAATCTCAGTCCAAGCTTTGCTGTTTTACCTTTGACTGGGGATTTGGCTGTGTGAACATGGCAGAACTTTAGCAATGTCGTATTTGAATCCAAATCAATCTCTGACGTAGTGGAGGCACTTTTCCTTCCCTCCCTCTTTCTGAAGGGCTCACTCTCCACCTGCTTTGCTGCTTGGCCATGTTTCTTTTCATGTTTCCATGAGCAAATTCCTGAGTTTGTATGGGCTGCCTCTCATCTTGTGTAGAAGTACTTGTCTCCAGCAGCACAACCTGGGCAAGGGATTTAGTTGTAAATCAGCATTTCAAGCCATCAGGAGCAGGTTCTACTTCTGCCTGTAGAGCACAGGAGTTTGCAAATTTGGACCAGGTCTAAAACCTGCCTTTTGTTTTCCTGCTAAATTTGTGCTCAGCAATAAGTGCCAGGAAAAGGTTATTTAATTTGAGTCCATTGGCTAAGCTGATGAGCTTCCTTTCCATGACTGTGTGGAGATGGATTGTCTGTCTGTCTGTCCAGAGAGGGATCATTTCCAAGACACACAGCCTTTGCTCCCCAGCTCAGAGGTTGGACCAGGCTTGGAGCACTGCTCTAGTGGAAGGTGTCCCTGCCCTTGGGATGGACTTTCAGCTTCCTTCCAGCCCAAACCAGTGTGGGATTCTGAGAGTCTCTAGAGGTGCTGCCTGTGATCCCACTGCTCCTGGGGCAGGGGTAGGGATGCAGAACCGGAGCCTGGCAGTTCCCGGAACGATGGAGATGGGGCTGTCAGGGGGAATCCAGAGCACTCTATCCTCCTGTCATTTTTAAGGATGATCCATAACGTGTGAACATCACCCACAATTGAGGCCTAATTGCGTTTCTCCAGGCACTTCCAAGGAAGCTTAAACGAGCACTTAAGAGATAATGCTCGAGCAGTCCGGGGAGGGGGCTGAGCCCAGGCCGGGCTCCTCACAGCGAACTCCCCCAGCGCTTTTATCCGGAGTTATTGGGCCATTACAGGTTGTCTTTTACTGCCTTGGATCTCTTGCGCTGCCAAGCGGAGGGGAGGGGTGTGTAACATGACCCAAAGTGGTCTTGTATGTTTTAATCTGCTGGTTTAATATCTTATGGCTTCCTGCCATCATCCCTTTCTGAGCTGGACCCTGGAGTCACTCCTGGAGGTTTGCTGTGTGCAGAGGCTGCAGGCAGGGCTGGCCTGGGCTTGTTCTCTGTGTGTGGGGCATTGGTGGGGCACCTGACGATCCCACCGTGGTGTCCTGCCTCGCTGCCGTTCCAAGGTTTTGTTTGTCCTGCTTGTTTTCCTTCAGCACCTCCCTCCCACATGTGAAAATCAGTGGCATCTGCTTCTGCTGTTTTCCTCCAAAAGAAACTCCCTTCCCTCACCCAGCAGGGTGAGCAGCTTTCTCTGCAGGCTGCATCCCGGACTGTTTCCCGAGGGAATTCCCTCGGGGTTTCAAGTGCTGCGAGCGTTTGGATCACAAGAGCTGCCAGCACTTCATCTGCAGTCAGGAGGGACCCGTGCTGTGATCTCTGCAGGTCCCACACGGGAGATCATTGCTGATGGATGCTCTGCT